CATCTCCAATCAGATTGTTTTTCATTTTATTGCACCTGTAACGGAAAGCATAGGATTTGTAATTGATTTCATGGTAGAAACAGAACATCACAATCTCTATGTGCAGGCCTTTCAAAGATCTATATTCTATCATATGATTCATATTTGCCCATCACAAGGGCCAAAACCCAAACTAAATAAAAGTGCAAAATATTGCATTCGGATTTAGACAACAGTGAACTTAAGTTACATGGCAAATCTTTTCTATTCAAGATTTTACAAGCATGACAATTGACAAATCATTTATAAAATTTCAGGCACAAAAATAGTGACTGGGTTACCGTTTTCATTTATAAAAGAGATTTTATATACCCTTTTCATACTTTCCCATCAATTGAAATGAAAACCGGGAGATTAGGAGGTATAACAAAGGAGGAAGAAGGTGTATTCTTGTTTAACTCAAAGTTCTGCAGTTGAGGGGGGAAAGGAAGTCCAAAGATGCCTCCATGGCTTACTCAAAAAGCTTATTTGAACAGCTGATTTTGGATCCGCAGTATAAAGTATGTTATAGATAAGTTCGTTTGGCAAACCTGTCTTCTTTCATTGTCCTTTTTCCATCTCCTTTGCTGCTGACTTTGAAGACTGACCAACACCATTCTAACCCTTTCTCACTTCCCACAAAATGGGGTAAACTCTTTTTTTATTTTAATTTTTTATTATATTTTTTTTAATTTTTTTTAAGTTTTTTAAAATTTTTAATTTTTAATTTTCATGTTAATCTCTCTCTTTTCTATTTCTTTTTCACTTATGGGTTAAATTTTTATTAAAGAAATTCTTTTATTTCCTTCTGTTTTATTTTCATCTTATCTTGTCGTATCTTATTACAGATATTGACCGTATATTTTAAACTATAAAAATATTTTTGAACCGTTAGATATATTAAATTTTGAATCAATAATAGAGATATTTTTTTAATTTTTTTTCATGTTTTATAATTTTGTCTCAATTTCCTTCCTCTAACAGGAACAATATTTTAAGGAGGACTATTTTGAGGAGAACTAGTTAGTTCTGGGTTCGGGTGACATTTACTCCCTTAACTACAGCTTATCTGCTGATTCTTCAATATCAGGACTTCTACTTAGTTTTATCCTAATTTCTTCCTGATCATGGATAGGTCATCCAAGTTCGGGCCATAAACAGTGACAATTACCTTATGAAGATTCACATTCATTGCGGTTCTAGATCCATAAATAACATAGTGTAAAGATTTCACTATCTTAAAATATTTAACATTTTGTTCATTTTTTTTCTTATTTTCATATATCATGTCATTTTATACTTCAATATATATATCATTTTTCACAGGGGCGGAACTTGGATTAAAAGTTTGGAAGTGCCAAATTATTATTTATATATATATAATTATAAATTAATTTTTTATTAAATAAAAAAATAGAATTTTTCCTTTTTTTACTCAATTTTTTAATTTTATTATAATTAATAATATAATAATATATAAATATAATAT